AGAAAAAAAAAAGAAAAAAAAAAAAAAAAAAAAAAAAAAAAAAAAAAGACATTGCCTGATGTCCTTTACTAAGTATAAGCTTGGGTTTATAATCACCAGTTGGGGTTTGAAAGGATAGTGAAGACCTAAGAACCAAGAAAAGAGAAGGGGGAGAGGGGCGTTTACACAAAAGCAAAACCAGCCACAATTGTAAAACAAACTGATCACAGATATACCCAGATTTACAACATAGATGAACCCCAAACCCCACAACTCAGTCTCCTTAAATATACACAGAGACCAGCCCATAAGGAAGAAAATGGTTCTGAGGCTTCAAGTTGCTTGAGCAGAAGTGCACAGATGCATACAGTAGTGAGTACATATTTAAATAGACACATACCCAAAAATAAAAGACAGACAGAAAGGGGAAGACAGACGTGGGCCCACCCATTCCCTTTGGTTTGAAACACAAACAACCTAGGAGTCTAAGAAGGAGCATTCAGGTTCTGGTTTCACAGGGACTTTCCCTGTGCAAGGCCAGTTAGCTCTCCCAAGGCTTGCTGGGAGGAAGTGTGAACCTGAATACTTATAGAGTATGACAGTAGGCATGGTTTACAATGGCCACAGGGTAACTCCTTTTGGCTCTCGGCCTTTTGGAGAGCTCTGAACAGGTAGCATGGGGAATCATTCAGTGGGTGGGAATCACTACCCTCCTCCTCCTGTTTATAATACTTTCCCATTTACCCACAAGGAAAGGCATCTTTAGCTTTTCAGAAACTAGTGGGTTCTTTCTAGATGAAGAAGCCCCTCCTTCTAACAGGCTACACTTTTCTCAACAGCAAAACAATCTGAACATACAGCTCCTAGTAGTCAAATGTGTATGGCCTCATCTTGAACATCAGGTATATTTTACCTTTGGAGCATCAGGTCAACCAGATCTATTTTGAAACACTGACTTCACTGCCAGTGAATGCTTTATCATTATTATAATAGCCTTGTCAACAAGAGTTCCTTCTTTTGGAAGCCTCTGGCCACCTCTTTTCCCTGGTTCCCTAGCTAAATACACACTTTCACCACACTGTTGATGACCAGTTCCAAATAAACCATTGGTTAACCATCTTGTATCTTCCCAAACCAAAGAAGTCACAAGTGGCTTAGTTCAAAGGATGAACAGCGAGGGTCATCCCAGGTACCAAGTCAGGTTCTAGAGTGTGATCCAGGTGTACCCTAAGAGGAACACCAAGGTACATGTCAAATTTCAAAAGATTATGATCTCAAACAAAATGCTCTTAATGAAACTGTAGCCTACTTTTCAACATCCAAGCAGAAGAATTATGTAGGCAAACCATTTTATCCAGATAACATGTTTGATTATTATTCTGTCATAATTCATTCCAAGATGGACCCCAAGCTCTTTGCCATCTGCAGTGGGATATTTGTACAGTGTGTGAAGATGTGTTGCTGTGATTGATGTAATAAAAAGCTGAATGGCAATAGATAGGCAGGAGAGATGGCGGGGGGACTTCCAGGAAAAAGAGAGGAACTCAGGATAGTCTAGGTACTTGAGAGAAATGCTAATGAGACACAGAGGAGTCGGACATACAGAATAAAAGAAAGGTAAAAAGCCAATGGGCAAAATGTACATTAATGTAAATGGGTTGATTTAAGTTATAAGAGCTAGCGGGATAAGCCTAAGCTAAGGCCAAAGTTTCAAAATTAATAATAAGTCTCCAAGTCGTTATTTGGGACTAGTGGTGGAAAAGAAAGTCTGACTATTGTATAAAGCTAAAATCCCATGGTAAAAGGGTCTTATTGTCTGCACATTCAAAAAAGGAAAGGCTGAGTCTGATGGATACCTGACTGATAAGTGAGTAAAAGACCTGGAAAACGCATAAAGTGAGATTATTCTTGTATACACAAAGGAATCCGAAGTAAATTTGACCTACCACGACTGGCTCTCCCCATGCACATGTTGTCTGGAGTTAACACTTCTTGCTTGATGGCAAAGTAGTCTGTCTGCAAGGTGTCTGTCTGAAGAGGGTCCCGGAGAATGACGGAAGGGTAGTCGTTCTCATACTTGAGGGACAGGAGTTCCTCTGAGCTGATGGGATGCAGCGTCTGATAGGACTCTGTGATGAAGCTGGGCTCTGAGAACTCTGAGGGAGGAACACACTGAGCATGCTCGATACCATAGCCTAGAAAAGGAGAATGTTCACAATTGGAGAGATTGACACCTAAAGGAAGCAATTCTTACCACCTATCACGGCCACAGCTCATGTGACATGAGCTGACTCTCTTAAAGAATAAAAGGAGTGTAAGTCAGAAGGATTTGGTTTCAATCTTGGCCCATGACTTACTCTCTTCAGCCACTGATACGATACCTTCCTTTTTGGTCTTACTTTACTTGTCTGTAAAATAAGGCTGATTAAGTCTTCCTCTGTGATGAAGAGTAAATGAGACTGTGTGTGCACAATGTCTACAACATTTGTGACACTCTTGATATCTAGTGAATACAGGTGTTGTCACTGTAATAAATAAAAAAGATAAAAGTGGCATCACCTGTTTAGCACTACTTTTAAAGGCAGAGCCGTCAGAGAAGCTCAATAGTTACTTTTCTTTCTCTGGCCACCTCTATGGTATCCTAAGGTATCTTACACTAAAAAAAAGAGAAGGCTTTATTTTCTATTCTATGAGTGGCATGGGCCACTCTTCCAGAAGGATTCCACATTAAACACTGTCATTTTCAGTAACAGACAAGGAAAGCATGTGGGACAAAATCAAATCCCTAACCCAACCGTCTCCAGTCCACTATCACACATGGGGTTAAATAAGATCAAAATCTGGCCAGAGTGTATTCCTTTCCAGTTGCAGGAACTTTATAGACTGATAAACACACATCCAAGCAGAATGCTTGTACTTTGTGAAAAATCACAAAATAAATAACAAGAAGCAGAATATAATTTAAAAAATGTTACCTTCTTTTTTTAATTTTTTTTTTATTTTTCGAGATAGGGTTTCACTGTGTAGCTTTGGAGTCTGTCTTGGAACTAGCTCTTGTAGAGTAGGCTGTTCTTGAACTCACAGAGTTCTGCCTGCCCCTGCCTCCCAAGTGCTAAGATTAAAGGCATGCACCACCACTGCCCAGCTTAAGAAAATAATACTTTCTATAGAGTTATTATTAAAGCATCTGAGACTGACTAAGACAGGGAGCCTTTTCAAGTTCCCTACTATAAAGAGCCAAGAGGCAGAAGGAGAGTAGAAGACAGCACTTACTAATGAAGTAATCCGAGGTATAACGGGATTCTGGATAGGTAGGGTTGACTCCATTAACCTGATATGGTTTCACATCCTCTGCAAAAAAACACATCAGGGAACGAAATAAAGAAAATATGCAAGTAATACTTGGCCTACAAGGATCTTGAACACACAAGGATCCCAATGGCATATTAAAGGAGTTGGTGTCTTAGTTGTCTGACTGCAGCCTTGTCTCAGGATGAGATCACAAAAGTATGGCTGAGTTTATCATTTCAGTGGCTGTGGAATGAGATTTACTGTTTTGGAATATACCCAGTGGAAAATGACTAAGGGTTGGGAAAATGGGCCCCCTCATATGTGATGTCTTGGTGCTCCCCTTCAGAGAACTGAATCTTCAGGTTTGTCTGAGGATGCCTCAAGAACCTTGATCAGTGCTTAACACTCCAACTAGTAAATAAAAAAAACATTTCAGAAACACATTCAGTCCTCAGGCAAGTAGATTTTTGTATCCTCCACTTTTTTCAGATGTCTGGATTTTTTTTTTCTGTGTTTTTCTCATTGTTCTTGGAATTCAAATTCAGGCCCAGACAAGAAGCAGGACACTGGTAAGGTGACTCCACTTGGTGAACCATGAAGACTTATGTAAAGTAAGAGAAATAACATACCTAAACTGCTTACATGCCAACTTCCTGGGGACCCATAAAGGATGGAGAGAAAGCACAGTGGAGAACAGAACTGTCATGGTGGGCTCAGGGTCCCCAGGTTCCTCTAGAAACGCAGTAACTGTTGACACTTTACAGAGGTGGGCTGTATTTCACTACAAAAATCAACTGTAAAGGGAGACAACTGATATGGGTTTTTCTTCAGGTATCTGCTAGCCTGCTGAGAGCAAAGGCTGCTGGGAAAACAAGTTTATGCCTGCACTCAAAAAAGAAAAAAAAAAAAAAACACAAAAACAAAAAGTTCCCAGTTGAGATAAAATGATTAAACTCTACTTGCACAGCTTATCAGATTGAAACATCCCCTGCACCTTTGGCCTCCAACTCCACCCCAAGCAGCTATGTTCTCTGACTGCCATGCGGCTCAGGTTTGATCACAGAATAGATGGTGTCCTGAACACAAACATTCTGATCAGCTCTTCAGATACATGAATTCACAGAGAGACAGTTTTACTGCCTCAAGCTATGGAAAGAACATGGGCTAGGATGACAGGACTTGCCTTCTCAAACATACTCAATGACACCCTATCTCACATCACCTCCCTAAAAGTACTCCACAGCATAAATGTAGTCCACATTCTAATCCTATCTTAGAGATGGAAGTTGCCCACAAGCCCACAAATATCACAGCAAGAACACAGGACAGGAGGTAAAATTTAAAAAGATTTAGAAGTAAGTAAAGTTTAAAGTGCTGATGGCTAGTTGGGGATAATTCCAAGAGAAAACAGATTTTACAGAACTTTGGAATCAAGGATATGAATATACCATGACCAGCAGTGGGCTGAGATTATCCCACTATGGGAATTCATTCAACTTCCACGAAGCCTTGTATTAACAGACTATGTTTGGTTTCATGGTCTGGTGCAACCTGCTGTTGTGTACCAAAACGAGCAGTAAAACCAGCTCTGCAAGGAGCCTACCACATCTTTTCCTCTTATGAACGGTCACTCATGTCAGTGCCCAGGGGTCAGGCCCAGTGCATCACTAAAGCTTACTAAGGCTATTGACCACTCCTCAGTAGCTTTAGCCATACAAAGAAGTACCAAGTCCATGACTGAGTGTGTTCTTCCATTGATTATTTTCAACAAGAGGTGGCAGAGGAGGAAAGCACATTGCACTTCTGTCCCTAGAGGAATGGGACCTGGGTAGCTCCTCAGCCCTGGGAGTAGGGCATACTCTTAAACAAAGGAAGTATTATATGGGATGAGCTGTGCTCCCTGCCCCCAGTGGCTGTGCCTAGAGCTTGGGCCTGATGACCACAGGGAAAGGGTGGGCCTGGTTACAGAGGGCATCAGGCTTCTAGGCTTACAGTCAGCTCTAGGGCACTGCTGACTGCTCGTAACTATAATTTATTTTAAGAAGAAATTCAGAAAAATAAGTGCAGAAACACCCAAGTTTGCCGCCTGCTGCTGTTTCTATACTCAGCCAGAGCTACAGGACATGAGTCACTTGGTCCAAAAAGGTTAGAAGAGGCCGGTAGAGGAGGCTGTGTCATTACAAGGTTGCAACACCATGTCCTGATATAACCCCAGCTTTGGCTCCAAATGTAAAAGGTATTCTACACTACCATAATCCCAAGCAAGTGAGTGGCAGAGGAACTTGTCTTACAAATAAGACTAGAGAAGCTACACACTCCTTCTACCAGAGTATACACTGTAGATTAAGGGAGAATATATTAAAATTACTGGGGGGAAAAACATCTTTTTTTCTTTAAATTCAGGTTTTAGCTGTGGGAACTATTTGTTCAAACAATGTATGGATCCAAGAAAATAACTTGAATCATATTTTTGAATACAAGGTGCTAAAAAAGTACAATCTTGCTAAAAATTAAAATATGAGCTCCTAATGCACAGAAGAAAAATAAACCTGCATGTATTAAGCTCTTGTTTTATGCCACGCTCTGTACCAAACACATCCCAACAGACCATCTATGCCATGCTGAACACCCACAAACAATGGCATGGGCATCACACTATTTGGCAAGCTCTTCTCCTACTCTTAGAGAAACTCCACACAACCCCCTCCTCCCTGTTTTCCCACATTTACCTTTCTGCAGGATCTCTAGATGCTCCCACAGGATGTCCCCAACAAAGTCTGGAGCCAGCTCAAGGAAGCATTCTTTACCCAGGGCACACAATGCCGCTCCGTTCATACAGAACTTCTGAAAGTCTACACCTTTCAGGCTGAACTCATTCACAGCCCACATCACCCAATCCCGAACATGGGTTTCTGTCCACTGCCGGGGATCTGCAAACAGAGACCAGATGAGGATGTAGTAGGTCAGGTTAGGGAGAAGAAAGTGAGGATACTAGTTACCCTTAGACCCAGGGAGCAGCATCCTGTGTTGATAAGCTTTCCAGCTCCTCTCACATACTTTTCCCCACACTCATCATCCATCTTCCCTATTTTGCCATGTAGGAGGAGCTGTAGTCAGCCAGCAATAATTCCCTGCTTTCATTCAGACCAAGATTTCCATTGATCTCCTCTCTCATTCCTATTTCCATTAAAAAGTGTAAAAGCCCCAGATAAAGGAATGCACCTTCTTTAATAGCAATAGTAATAGTATAAAGTGTTTTCCACAAATTGCACATGCCTCTGGTTGTTCTCAACTCTTCAATACACTTGAGGTTTTTATATTGGGATTATTTTTATCTTACATACTTAGATTTTACAATAATCACCACAATTAGTAATGCTAAGTCATTCAAGTGTCTTTATTAGTGACTACATGAGACCAATGCCCTGCAAAGTCTGCACCTGTCACAGGCACTACTATGAATAACAGTGATGGCATATAATCTGCATACATGACCTAAGGTTTAAAAGAGCTTTACCCGTCAATGACACCAAAGGGGCTCAGATGACAGCAGGTTTCAGTGGTCATATAACTGATACTTGAATCCAAAAGGTAATTTCATGAGATGCTAGAACACCCAAGACTCAGAAGTTATTTTTCTCTGACTTCTGGTCCTCAAAAAATGTTTGGGATTGTTCTCCACCCAGATGTGGGGTAAAATTATAAACAGAAGAACAAATGTACAAATACAATCCAAAAATTTAACCAAAGCTCCAGTCTGGCTACGCTAGAAATCTCTTACCCAGAAGTGAAAGAGGCATGATTTATAGACAACCTTCCTTCAACTTTCTTAACAACAACACAACACTTTTCTGCTCTTGACTGTCCAAGAAATGTTCCTAGGTAGAGCTGAAAATTCTCAGCTCACTTCTTTCTGACAACTCCAGACCCTTTCCATTATCAGTAAACTGAAAGTATAAGCATACTTTTCCCAAGTACATGGAAGAGAACAGATATAAATATAAAGAACACAGCACCCGGGGTTCATCCATGGTATCCAAACTTGTCTTCAAGTTGGAATTGTTTGAAGACTTTATAAAATAAAGATATCAGCAGCTGTTAAGATTTAATTGGTCTAGTCTGGGCCCTACCTGTAAGTTTCAAAGGTCAAGAGAGTCAGATGTACAGACAGGTTTGGGAAACACTGTGCTAAGACCAAGATGGCAATGACAAGTTGGAAAAGGGTGGCTTTTCAGTCCCTGTGTCTCACGGATGTCTGCAATAGCCCAGCACTTCTGATTCCAGTGCTGCTAATCTAAGCCAGCCCAGGTACAAGAGAGTAAATGAGCCTTCCCTAAGGATGTAGCCTGAGTGACCCCTTTTCCTACTGTAAAAATATACCTTTTGGGATTCCCAGTCGCTGCTGTTCTTTTGTGAAACCACTGAAAGTAGCTTTCAATGCTTGGGACATCATTTCTTTGCTGCTTGGAGTTAACAGTGGAACATCTGCACATTCCATATCTGTAAGGAAAAACAAAAACAGCATTTGAAACACAGAAACCACATAGGTAATTAACCACTCACAAAGGATGAGAGGGTGTGAATGAACTGGAGAATGTAAGCTGAGAATGAATCGTGTTAATGTCCTCATCACAGCAGGTAAAATTGAAGGGGTTTTCCACAATATGCTAGGCCCCTTTGAAAAAAAAAATGTCTTGCTTACAATGCTCTGTACCCTGGTGAACAAAATATGCTTATTTTTTTCTTCTGATTTCTACTATTTCTACAGCCCCCATTTATCTTTCTTTCTTATTCATTGAAACCATTTGTGCTACTACATATTTTCAGTTACCTATAAAAAGAAGAAACAATATTATTCACGCAACCAAGAATTGTTTCGTGCTTGAAATATGCAAAGGATGGGACTAGCACAGAATGAAAAACCAGCAGGGAACATAGAAACAGCACCGACCAAGACAGACTCTTGAAGTAGATTCAGTTAATAAAAATCTATAGACACAAATGTTTAAATACAATCTCAATGTGGACTCCAAAGGAGAAGATGCATGAACGGGAACTGCTGCAACTCTAGAGGATAAGGAAAAACCTTCCAGAGGCAGAGATACTTGGTGTGAGAGCTGGGGAACTCTCAGAAATGAAGGAAGAAAAGTATACTCTAGCCTAGCTACCCTCAGAGTGTGGTGCCCCAAGCAGACATATCAGTCTCTCTTGGAAATGATCAGATGCAAATTTTCAGTTTCACTGAAGGTCTATTGGATCAGAGCCTACTTGTCTGCTTTTCGACACAAAATCCACTGGTTAACACTAAGCAACACAATCTTGGGCACAGGGTAAAGAAAGGCCATGGGATACGTATCAAAAAGATGAAAGTAGAGGTTCTGCACCTCCTTGGTTAGGAAATTATTTTAGGCTACTAAATAATGGGATTGTTTCCCTCATTTCCTCCTCAATGCTTTTGTCACTGGTATATAGAAAGGCCACTGATTGTTTTTGTATGTTAATTTTGTATCCCAAGAGCTAATTGGCTAGGAATGTTCTGTTTATGTACAGTAACATATCACCTACAAACAGGGACACTTTGACTTCTTTTCCTATTTGCATCCATCTTATTTCCTTTTTTTTTTTTATGCCCTAATAAGAATTTGAGCACTTTACTAAATAGAAGTAGAGACAGAGGACAGTCCTGTCACCATACACCTTGGTTGAGCAATGTATAGAAATCAAGCTAAAAGTGAGTTAGAAGTTTTCTCCTCTCCAGCTAATCTTCATAGTCCTAAAAAGTGCTATGGAGATTACTGGAGAAAAGGCAGCAATGGTCTTACACAGCTGTGAATCCTACAAACTACAAGATCACGATGTGCTCACTTGTGCAACAGTGGCACTATTGTTACGGGGTAACCAACTGTTCTCTGGTTTTTGAGGCCCAATCCACAGGACAGAATCCATGCCTGTTACAGTAAGCCCTATCAAAAACTCATGGACGTCTGAGGCTGTAGTGGGTAAATGAATACTGTTCTTTAGCTAAATTGGCACAGCATCAAACTGCCTTCTAAATATTTATGTTTACACTCATCAACAAATGCTACTCCCATCTTTAATCAGAGATGCCTCTTCTGCAGTAAATGGGAGTGAATGGAGGGATTCATAGCTATACAAGGTGCTGGGAATAAGTGACAGATGAACGCTCAGTCCAAACAAGACATTTATACCATCCCCTCTAAGGTACAGGGAATATAGTAAGAGAGAGGACAGAAATAATGTAAGAGCTAGCTGACACAGAGAAGTGTTTTAAAAAGTATCTTCTGAGGAAGGCACAGCCATTGTAATCTCAAACACACAGCAGCTGTGGATGGCTGCACTGGATCATCACAAGAATAAGTTCCTCAACAGCCCAGCATGAATGAGAGAGAGACTTAGGGAGCCCTCCCCTTCACTGTGAACTATTTGCTAACTGATAGATTCAGGCAAATAGGGTGTCACTGTTTTAGTTGTGTACCCAGTGGTGACCCCACCAGGTTCCAACAGATAGTTCCAAACCAAAGGTCACACAGATGGCCCTGGTTAAACTAATTGAGTCACAAAAGAAAAGTAAAAGTCATATCTATAGGAAAGAGACTGTGGGGAGGATTTACGGGAATGGTAAGGAAATAAGAGGGGAGCAATCAGCACACACCACACACACACACACACACACACACACACAATTTTCAAAGAACAAACTTAATTTTTAAAATTACAGAAAGGGAGAGAAATGAAACTTTTAGCATAATAAAAAAAAAGATGAACAACAAGTGAATCTGAGTGATCAGGAGGGCAGCTGTTCGACATCACGTTGAAGCAGCAGTGGAGACAATGTTAAGAATAGGGCACCTTATCCTAAGGAAAATAGAAAGCTGCTGAAATTTAACCAGAGGAATGGCCTCCCTGCATTCTTAGTTTGCAAAGAGTGATTTAGGTGCACATGAGTGGATGTAAGGAGATTTAAGAAAGTGGTAATATTTGTTCTGCTGGGAGATGATAGTGGCTTTGACTAGGAAAGTAGCAATACTGATAAGATAGGCAGGCAAGCCTGAAGTGTACACAGAAAGTCCCAATTTATGATTTATGGAGGGAAAGGACAGTGAGGTATCAAATCTTGCAGACCTTCCAGTATCATCATTTGCCAAACCCACACAGTTTTACCACCCACACTTGTAGGCCCTGTTCCTAATATGAGTACATGCACAGAGCTAACATCAAGCATCTTCTAAACTCATCTTGAGTCAATTTCTCCCCGAATCTAAACCCTCTTAGCTTTTCTGTGACTTTTTGCAGTGACTAACTTCACTGCCCTGAGTTTTTAAAGCCTCAACTCTCAGTGTCCCCACATGCATCGTGTAAGATGACTGAGGTCTAGATGAGGAAACTATGGAGGTTCCTCAGCTAGCTTGTTCTACAAGTTCCTTGGCTAGCTGGAAGGAGGGAGAGAGGAAGGAAGGAAGGAAGGAAGGAAGGAAGGAAGGAAGGAAGGAAGGAAGGATGGGACTATTTCCTGCCTCTCTTGTCTTTCTTTTTTTTTTCTCTTTTTTCCCCTTGTAAGAAACTTTTTTATGCATAAAATAATAAGGAAGGAAGGAAGGAAGGAAGGGGGAGGGAGGGAGGGAGGGAAGGAAGGAAGGAAGGAAGGAAGGAAGGAAGGAAGGAAGACAGCCCCTGAATATATATAAGAGACATGATGAAAATTAGTGACCTCCAAAAAGAGAAGCCAATAGTTCGCCTCTGAATGTCAAAAAGAATAGAGGTGATAATGCATGACTGAGGACAGTTTCCAGCCACGCTGTCAGAAAGCAATCCAGTGTCTGAGTCCTAAGAAGAAAATGGTTTGCTGTAGCTACTCTCCCAGGCCCTGCCAGTAACAAGAAATCTCAAGTCCCAGGGAGTCTTTGAATTGCCTTGGAACAGTCCAAAAAAGTTCTAATGAAAGAATCAGCATGCCTTCAGGAAGGCTGACAAAGTGATGGAAAATCCCAGATTTTGGAATTTAAAAAAAAGGGGGGGGGCAGGGAAGGGACAGTTGTTGATTACATAACATCCAGCCATTCAAACAATGAAATAATCATCAAATGAGTCACTAAGAAATACATCAATGTTCCCCATTCGTCCTTAATTCACCAATCTAAGAACTACTAAGTGATCTGGAGTGTCTCCCCTTCAGAGCACAGGTCAACTTTACTTCAGAGAATAAGGCTGTTTAGTTAAGCAGAGAGCATGTTCTCTGAGTAGGGAAAACTCCAGCATCTCTAGATGCTAGCACAAAGCTAAACACACAAGTCAATCAACAAATACTTTGTAAATTCACTATGTCTCAATTGACTCAACTTTGTTCCCTTCACTCCCATCCAACATAAATTCAGGAACTTGAACTGTGTGGGTTTTGTTCTTTGTCTCTGTTCCCTCCATTACATTAAAAACTTAATGAAAAGGACTTTACTGACAGTGGAAACTGGCTGACACCATGTGTTGAAATTGTAGGCCAAGGCTAATAGTGCATCTGTGGGGCTACCATAAACGGGACATATAATGTATCTGGCAGAGTGGCCCCACATTGTCTTCTAAACATGAAAGCTGGGGCAATGTAATGTTCTCATGAATAGGCAGCCAAGAGCAAGGACAACAGCAGAGAGCCTGAGAAAGAGGATTCCCTGAGGCTATATCCTCTAGCTATAGCATTCTGCTAGTCTGCTCTGACCAGGAGTGCTAAGTGGATGCTTCTCCCATGCAGGTTTCGGCCTCCTGTTGGGATAGCAAGCATTTCCATATTCTCACTTGTTTTCTCTAATGGAAGTTTCTAGAATTACTTTGGCTTGTCCACCTCAATGTCACCTCTAAAAGTCTAGCTCACATGAAGCCATCTGGCACTGTCCCTCTTGTAGTGAGATCTAAGCTCTGGATCTCCTGGGTAGATCTCCCAAGCCAGCTAGAGAAAACTGTCCCCACATCTGAGACGCTTGCCTTGGGATGTGAGCTCCAGTAGAGAGCACTGTCATTGTTTTGGGAAGCAAAGAATGTCAAAAGGAAAGTCAGAACTTTTCTGTATTTGTAAAGTTCAAGATTTAGACATAAAAAACAAAGAAGTTCTTTCTTTACATAAGTGAACAGTTGCTAGGTTGCCTTTTCAGTAGTATGGACATTGCATTTAAAAAAATGATCAAAAGCGGGGCATGGTGGTACATGCCTTTAATGCCAGCACTTGGGAGGCAGAGGCAGGTGGATCTCTGTGAGTGCACGGCCAGCCTGGTCTATAAGTGAGTTTGGGGACAGTCAAGGCTGTTACACAGAGAAACCCTATTTCAAAGGGGAAAAAGATCAATAATCATGCTCAAAAGTGGATATATTGAGCTTGTTACATAAAAAAAATCAGTGCAAATGTTCCCTCAATATTATCCGCGATTGTGTAAACTATAGTCTCATATGGATGATGATGGTGATGATGACGATGATGAATCATTAGGCAGGTGAAA